TTTGTTATATATATATATATATATATATATATATGTACATAACAATATATATATTATATTATTATTATATATTATATAATCCCTGATCCGAATTGTGGGAAAATCTGAAGCGTGATAACGCGGCCTGATGAACTGCTTCCCATACAAGCCCGGAGAACTTTTAGTTACAGGTAGAACATGTACGAACAGAGAACGAAAATTTTAAACGACCGTGAGGTGTCCAGTGTGATCACTGCCACAGAAACTCGCGCTGCCCCTAACACACATGCCTGATTACAGTCAGACCCGCCGATCAAAGGGCAATTAGTTTCATTCCCAAAAGGAGTATCAATGAGTAACCTCCAAGACCTACTCAATACCCGAATTCGCTACGAGATGACAGTACCGGTATTCATCTGACTGCTAGTTTACCACCATTCCCACTAAGACCGTGCGGAAAAATACATCCACCAGAAAGTAGTCCGACATGGTTGCATTTTCACCACTCGTCAGCTAAGGGCATCTTGTGGAGCACGGACAATCCCTTCAACAATCCTACGCACATTTATTTGAATTATTCGTTCGTTGACCTGTAAGTGAGTTGGAATTTCAAATCATCACCATCATCATCATCACCATGGACAGCATGACATTTGTGTTTAACACCGATGCTTTGCTGTCGTACAACCATGATTTATTTGAAGGCCTTGTTATGAAGAAAATAATGAAGGTGGGTGGGAAGGGACTTCATGCTAGCTTACCACAATCATTCCGAGGTGCCCACATTTCCAGACACTCAATCAGGTAATCTGAATGGAAACTGACAACAAGAACGTCGCTGACCTTCCAGCAACCATTTCTTGCAACGTCTCCAACTACGCGCATTGGGGGTTACGCGGTCTCCATCCTGAGAGGCGAGTATCACCAAGAACACCCAAAACAGCACTCTTCGAACCCGAGCTCTGTCTCTCGACTTCCCCTGTCTAGGCTTGGGCAACCTGACAGTATCCCAGCCCTCGTGTTTCCTTCGTGTGGCATGGCAGCTAGACACCGAAAGGGTGCTACAGCTGAACAACAACAACTCTTCGGCAAACGATGATTCAGATTGCGCAATACATGGCCCAACCAACGCAGTTTCTGGTGTTGGACATATTCTTTAATGGAAGTCCCCGTTGTAGAACTCGCTTTCTAGTAGCCTCGTTATGGATTCTTCGGCACCAACCCACACGAGCTATGGTGGTGAGACAACTGTTGTCGAACGCCTGAAGACTCCTTAGTTGCATTGCTCGAACAGGCCAAGTCTCACAGCCATACAATAAAATAGCCGTATTGTAGCATGACGTACAAGTACCTTGAGATTCAGGAATACACCGCCTTGACGCAGGTGTCTCAAATAAGCACACGCGACTCGATCCTTGCAGATTCGTGCAATGATCTCATTTGTCACACTGCAATCACAACCAATACAGCTTCCAAGGTGCGTAAAATGCTCCACAACAGGATTTCGAGTGTGTCCTACTGCGAGGATTTGACCGTCACGAAATTCTCAACCTCGCCCCAATCTGTCACTAAACTGCTCCAGCCTTCGATTGAAACGTCCACTAGCCTACCGGGAAAATTTGGAATTAAACAAAATGACAACACCATGGACACACTTTAGGAAGCCTACTTCGAGAAGAATGGGCGTCACTGGAGGCAGTGCAGTGAACCATTGAAACACGCGTCATTGTGTTAGGTGTGTATGATGTGAATGAGCAGAGACTGTTGTCCCGTAAAAAGATTCACACACAGGTGTTAACTACTGGTTTATCTCGTGTGTTTTCAAATGACAGGCAAACATTGCAGCGTTTGACAATCTCGTAAAACTAGTTAATAACGGGTCTAGAAAAATAGTGTCACAACTTCAAAGTGCACTGAGTCGTTGCGTTACGCACAAAACAGTAACCCCCACATTCCCAGAGCAAAGTGGACCGAAAGACGATGGATTCAATCAGGATTGCTGGCCGCAGCGACATCCAGTGACTAGTTGGCCGCATTTCAGGAGTAACGAAATACAGTGGTGAATGCGAGCGAAGCTACTTCTATATTTTACAACGTCTCATCCACGTGCCCACAACAAGCCTTACGTTGCTTCACCAAAGAGCGCTTGGTCTAGCATATGTCGATACTGCTGACCTGACACTTCGCCGACTTCGAATTCGACTTGCGAATGCCTGTGGGAAAACCGCCTGTAAGAATGCCCACGCTATCGTACGACCGGAAGCAAGTTGCGTGTCCAAAACGAAATGGTCGTCCTGAAACAAAGTTACCTCTGGTGGCAGACAGCCAAATGATTTGGTCCGCCACCAATGCATAACTACATAAAGTCTGTATAATGTAAGTTCTTACAACAAAACAGTAGAACATCAAAAGAATAGACTAACGTAGTCTCGGATTAATGGTTCTCCGAGCGCGTCTAACTAGCTGATCTGATAACCAGTTTGGCAGCCCCACCGTGGTAGTCGGTAATGCAACTGGTTGTTGGCTATGGCACTCTGGGTTCACATGAGTGGAAGTCACGGGAAAAGGAGAGGTGGTAGGTTGGTTGTGATAAGGTACTGCATCACGATGGTCGGAAGGACAAGTAGAGAGTGCTGTTGGTTGAGATGATGACACAGCCGGCTCTTGCATGTACGACAGATCCAAACAGCTGTGCGAAAAGCAAAGATTTAAACATGAGAGTAAAAATAGCGAAGGGCGGTTGGCTTCAATCACGTTGTTTATTTTCACTTAATAAAGGAACAGTTGGTTGTGGTTTGAGGGCAAATGCATTTATCCATATCAGCCTTCCTGTTGTCTATTAATATATCCTCGACAAAGCTAGGACATGTTTGCAAACCAAGCAGAAACCACGCTTATAGACCACACCCTCGTGCCCTAAAACAGAAAAGCTCAGCTAACATACAACGGATGTTATCAGGTTGGTACATATAAGCAACCAAGTATCACCTAGCTTTCTCCTTTGGGAAAAATTGTTCAGCTGTAGCACCCATGCAGTGGCCAACTGCATGCCACCCGAAGGTTGCACAAGGGTTGGGATACTGCCAGGTTGCCCAAACCTAGACGGGGAAGTCGAGAGGCAGAGGTCGGATTCGAACCACGGACCTTCCAATCAGTGAATTCGCGCTCTAACTACTTGGACCATCGCATCCCTTGCTTGGGGAGATGTCAATATGGGATATGGAACGGTTTGTCAGCAAGATTCCAGTTCAAACTGGCGACAACACTGGTGTTTGTGGTCGGTTACTTGTCGGCAAAGCCGTCCATTTGGATGTGATGAAACACCCACTCCTACAATGTGCGTGCATCCAGTGGTTTGAACACTGCTGACCGGAAAATACGATTCGGACACCGGCCACTCATATCGTAGCAGAAACAATATGTTATGCTCATAGTGAAAGCTGGGACGAGGAATCGATCTATCATATTTCATGTAACTTCGTTCATTCCACAGTCTCGATAAAACGGATCCATTTTCCTTGGTGCATACAGCTTGTTTGGGTAATCAAGCGGCAGAAAACTGTCACTAACATACAGTGCGTTTTGTTAGTTTCCATTAAAGGTTACCTCTGGCACAAAAGACGGCCTCGCCTCTTAAGGTTTAACCGATTGTAATGTCACCAAAGCACGAAAATCGGCTGCACACACATCATAAATAAAAGAAAAGTATAATACTGGATAGTTAGGCGTCCAGCTGTAGCACCCTTCTGGTGCCTAGCTGCCATGCCATCCGAAGGAAGCACCAGAGCTGAGATACTGCCAGGTTGCCCAAGCCTAGACAGGGGAAGTCGAGTGCCAGAGGTCGGGTTCGAACCACGGACCTTCCGGTTAGTAGATTTGCGCTCTAACCACTTGGGCCATCTCGCCCCCAATACTGGATAACTAAGTGTATGAACACCGGGGGCGCAATATTCGGCACATGGGGCTGAAAAAACTCGATCATAGGGTTCTGATCTCGTGTACTTCGGTACGTGCTCACTTGGTCGATAGTTTGATCGATCAGCAATGAAAGACTAGCCCAAGACCGAAGTGTGCACACCGGCCTTGGAAAATACCGTTTGGCTGGTGTCGAGTTGGTACAACGCACAAAACTGAAGTGAATGAGGCTACGTCAAACAGCGAAGGTATCAAGTGTGTTTTTAGAGACGCGATTCGTTAGTTTATCTTAATTACTTACTAAAAGGTGGTGCTGAATATTGCCGAAGCAAAATGTTCAACCTTATTATAGGTGCATACCTCTGCGTCATGGATTAATCAGCAGTCACTAACGAATAGAACGTATATATATATATATATAACGTTCTAAGGCTGAGCAGCCACCCACGTGGGATTGCACAAGACTAGACCTGCGAATTCGGCACAGCGACGGTATTCAAATCCCACATTAAAACAGGCTAAGCAGCTTATGATTTGAAATCGCACTGCCGGAGGTCGGTTGTTACGTGCAGTGCTTTGTGATAGCCTCGACTTACTAAAATGATAAGCTCATAAGCACCAAGCCAGTGCAAATGACTGACACGCCATTGCCAGAGCTAATGAAACAACCGGAGTATCCAGTGCTTTTCCTTGACATGCAAGCGACACGTTCAGAGACTGAATATTCTGAAGCATGACCTCGCACTATGTAGGTGCAAGGCGCATGCATAAAGGTGGTATGATGGTGGTTAGGTTATTCAGCAGTGTGGATTGTTTGTTCCCGTATAAGGACGCTTCTGCTTGGTGACTCAACACAACACTTGCCCCGGCACGTCCGGTGGCAGCGGCCTTCTTGTTACCAGGGTTGCACAGCCAGGAGCGGAGATTGCCGGAGTGGTTAGTTCAATCACAGTACGTGTAACTTGAACTCAGGTTTCTGATGCACAGGACGTCTGCGCAGGAAAAAAATTCCGGCTTAAGAGCAGGGCGTTCTGTTTCCCCGCTCGCCTGAGGGTTCTAAGATTACAGCCAGCTAAGTAGACCGTGCAAGGCGCATGCATAAAGGTGGTATGATGGTGGTTAGGTTATTCAGCAGTGTGGATTGTTTGTTCCCGTATAAGGACGCTTCTGCTTGGTGACTCAACACAACACTTGCCCCGGCACGTCCGGTGGCAGCGGCCTTCTTGTTACCAGGGTTGCACAGCCAGGAGCGGAGATTGCCGGAGTGGTTAGTTCAATCACAGTACGTGTAACTTGAACTCAGGTTTCTGATGTACAGGACGTCTGCGCAGGAAAAAAATTCCAGCTTAATAGCGGGGCAGTCTGTTTCCCCGCTCACCTGAGTGTTCTAAGATTACAGCCAGCTAAGTAGACCTTCCTTAGGGGTTTGAAAATTGATTTCAGTGTGTCTGTGGCTGTTACTGAAGACAAAAAGACAGAAGTTGCCGCAAGAATGATGCCAGGTGAACAGAACTGGCAATCCTTGCAGAGAGGTAAGGGAGAGGGAGAAATATCTGAAAATTCGAGAAGGCTTCAGCAGTAGTGTCTTTGGTACCGGTTCGGACAGCTAAAAGGACGAACAATAGTTACGTAACAAGTGGCGTGTTCTTGCCTAGATGATCGATGGCAGCTTGATCGGGCTAATTGGGTTTGTCATATCTGCGTACACAGAGTTGAACTCACTAGTCTGATAATGAACGGTTTGCTCACGTACAGGGTTAATTGTCGAACTCGACTGATCAATTATCCGTAACCCGATGACTGAGTTGGGCTGACCTAATGACCCGTATTGATTAAATGGCTCAGGATTGCACTGCTGCCTTACTTCCCAATCAACATGCATCTGCTCGTGCAACCGATTAGTTTGCGGACCACATACGCGCAGATGAGTAGACACCGCTAACCATTCGGGGGTAGACTACTTATGTTAGAGATTCGTACTGAACGTTGGCAGCATTGAGTGATTTTCTTATGTCTAATAATTGTAGGCACTGTCACTGTATATACTGTTTTCATTCTGCTGACAGTGAGCTGTTTCTCCGTTTCCTACGCTTTTAACGGAGTTCAGAGAAGAAAAGTTTTGTTCTAAGGAGAGTCGCGAGTTCCTGTCTAGAATGTAAGGTGAGTAAATCTTCCTGGCGTTACTCGTTAGATAGACAAGCGTTTCGTTCGCACGAAATATCAAGAGACTGTGAAAGTTTGTAGATCTCATAAAGTGCCATCGGTTTTCCTCTCGAGAGCCAAGTCCAAACAAAAAAACAGTTTGCACTCTTGCTCTGCAGTAAATCGGATGCACGACGGCACACTACTGAGTTGTTTCAGAAAATCGTCACAAATGATTTGAAATCAGTACCAACCTCAGACAATAGATTTAGTGTCACTATTCGCCACAAAGGCCTTCTCGACTTCGTCCAGGTCAAACTGGTCAGGAGCGAACCCTCTAAGCTAGTTTGGTCATCACTCAAAGACCCCTCAAAGATGTGCGCCAAAAATGCGCCGCGTGAGACAAATAACAAAGGCACATGAAACAAGACTAACCGAGCCACGAGCAGATCCAGTCGACAGTCCAAAAAAAGACGGACATCTACACATGTATGTAAGTAGTATCGAAGACAACGTAGAGCTGCACAGCGTACAGAACGGTTGTGACACCATATAGTTAGGCGTAAACTGAAAAGGAAGAGATGGATTGATAAGACAAAAATATCCAATCATCAGCAATGAAATAATACACATATCGATATTTCGCCTACTATCAAGCGAACTTTGGATTATTTGGGCATGAAAACTACATTCCACGAGACAGTAAATTAGGAAACACACAAAACACTCGGTACGATTCCGTGCCGATTAGAGTCCCTTTTGAATTCATTTTACCATCTTGTCTAGCGGTTCCAAACGTTATTCAGCCAATCAACCCTACGAATACGTGCTACAGTATTACCACTTCCCATGGGAATTGCTGAAAAATTAAGTTCAGTATGATACTTAGTGTTCATCCAGCTTTCCTGTATTACTGGATTCGATATGCGTCACTGAGGTTGCGCTTTCTTCAATTTCTCTAATACTATTTGTCACAGCTTTTGGTTTCCAAGTAGTTGGTCGTTTGGAGACAGATCGATTGGACCTGACTAGAAACCACAGTGTGCTGGAATTCCGTAAAATTCAAAGTATACTGAAAAACTTCACATTTCGTGATAAACTAGTGATTTCTGTCTGTCCACTAGTTCTTGGATAGAGCAAAATGACTAACAGTGGATTTCACTACTTTGCTCAGATTTGAGGTGAAGATGAAAAACGGATTCATATGAATATGTTGCCGGGTCAGACACGGAAATCACCGTCCAACTAATCGAAAAGTCGCACGCCAATGACTTGAATACTGTATTCGGTTCGCATCCAACAGTTGCCGCGTTGTCGCCTGGTAATTCCGAAATTCGTTCTGGCAACGACGTGACCTGTTAAGTGGAATCCATTTCACTCTAAATCTAATGGTTGGGAAATTTTGAGTAGATTCATCATTTGTTGCAATCTGAGAACGGTCAGCCTTGGGTAGTCGTAAAACCAACTGAAAAAACGTTTTGAGCCATGCCAAATTGTCACGATTGATTTTTCTTCGAATTATATACAGTTGTTGTTATTTCACTGCGTGTGCAGATCCTTCTGGTAACAAATATCGAGTAATTGAAACCGGTATAATACCAAGTCTGTATCAGATCAGGGTATACGCAATTTACGTGGCGATAAATTTGGGTTCTCACGCATCTGGTGCTACTAAAATAAGAAATTTCAGGGGTCAGTTGGGCAACTCTGTGACCTTGAAAGTGCAGCATAAACATCAGGCGACCTTAATGCGACACCTACGGAATATGCATAGAATAGGATGCGTTAGGATATGACAAAGGATCAAGTACTTCACCACCACCCAACTCTAAACCGTCAACTTTTCCTAAAGACAGAATTTGAGCACCTCAATTATCGCCAAAACCTTGTTCCTCGAGATTCGGTCGCGTTAGTAAGATCCAACGGAAGTAGTTGGACAAAGACCAGCGAAACTCCGTACTGAGATAACAGCCAATACAGGGTGAACAGCTTTCGCTACTGAAAATAACCACAATCTTCTTCAACTTATCTGAAAGACCGGCAAAAACATTACGGCAAGGGAATAAAGGAAATAGAAGGATCTGTTATTCATTTACAAACTTATCGTCCAGAACGATGAGCAGAACACTGTGAAGATCAGTTCGCTTGGTTTTCCGCTGCAAGAACGTGATGAAGACGAGATGGAAAGTTAACTACTCAGCTCTTTCTAAACGGGAGGTTCGTGACTGCAAATTGTAAAGGGAAGCCAGGAAACTAATATGGATTCCTTCTCAACGACCGTGTTCAAGTTCGATGAATGAGGGCTTGTGTGTGAGACTACGATGTTGATGAGCTTCATATACAGAGAGCGGCAGCTTTCCGGGGAATGGCAAATTTCTCCTGTTGTTCCAATTTCAAAAGAGGCACCAGAAAAGCATGCCTCCTGAGTGCTTTCCAAGACAGTCACGTCTCTTGGGTACAATTATGCGGAACGTTATCGCGTGCCACATAAAATAGTTCAACCAGAAAACAGCGGGGAACCAGCAGAGTAAAGCGCAAATGATAAGGATGGTGTTTTTGTGACTCAGGCGCACTGGTCTAACGAATCCAAATGCCTAACTCTGGTTGTTTTACTGCCGGTTGAAAATTCGTTCAGTATTGTGTGAGCCAAAATGCCTGCTAGGTTCTACGAATAAAGATGGCAGCTCGCAGTATGCAGACTTAATGAACGGGTGGAGAGTGACTTTAGTGTCTGGCACCAGTCTGAATATCTGCTCACATCCGATCGACTCAAAACTACGCACAGGCTTAAGCCTCTGAAGATACAGCAACAAATCTATGAAAAACAGGCAAGGCTTCGTCTAGGTCGTGGATGCAAATGCTGTACCTCGGACCTTGAAATCTGGCCAGTAGCCCTCAGGTTCACCGAACTGATAGCAGCTTCGTTTTACGGCACCACCTAAGGCGTCCCCGGAAACTTTATCCTACATTTCTGCTCACTAAACTTAGAAGCTTTGGTCTAACGAAAAACCCCTCCGGATGGCAGGGACAAACATGATGTGCGACAGAGTTGATTTCGATCGCCTTTTATATTCAACCTCGAAATGATGGTGTATGGATAGCTTAAATTGTCCACCACATCAGGAGTCAAGCTACCTTTATTTTAGACTATGTAGATGATATTGTGCCACGACCGCTGTTGGCAATATTGCCGAAGTGCTAGAATAAGAAAATCACCTTCGGTCCTTCTTCAGCCTAACTGGTTATGGTACCGGCGTGGATGCAACTTGCAAACGAGATGCCGCATTGCGGCAGTTACTGTTGCAAGGACATGAAACATAGAAGACGACTACCAGAATTCAATTGTCGATCTGTACACAGTATTGCATGTGTGGTGGAAACATTGCACTTCCTACGACGAAATGCATCGTTTGATATGGGTGTTAACTTATGCCCGACTGACAAGCTGATACAACTACACTGCTCAGCTGGTTTGGTCGGGCGCTGCACACGTCCGAAGACCAGGTACCAAGGGAGGCCTTGTGTGCCCTATCAGGATTACAGTGGTTACTATTCACAAAGTAATTTGCTGGTAGTGGCGTCTTATCTGCACAATTAAACCAATTTTGTGGTGATATTCATCCAAACGGTGCCCAATTTTGCATGAATTTGTCAAGGGCTAATGTTTTGGTTCCATAAATGATCAACAAACGCGCGTCCAGTGGGCCGGACCAGCGGAAACCAGACGAATACTGTGCGCGTACATTTTTTTCTCCGTCAATACTGGAAATACCGCTGGTTCGCAAAGGAGACTGCCGTGCAAAAAAACTGACTAAGATGACACAGGGTGAACCGCGCTAGTATCACATACAACAAAGTAACTNTGGTTCGCAAAGGAGACTGCCGTGCAAAAAAACTGACTAAGATGACACAGGGTGAACCGCTCTAGTATCACATACAACAAAGTAACTAATGATACTGCCGTTCGATTGGAACCATCGATGCTAAGAAGGATACGTCCATTCACTCACGTTAAAGCATATGTGACGAATCCAAGAGTGAATATGCTTTTGTTTCACTTAATGAATCACAAAGATTCGTGAACCGACGAGTCTACAGAAACAATCAATCGCAGAATATCAAATTATCATCACCATCATCATCGATAGCATGACATCAGTGTTTAACATCGATGCTTCACTGCCGTATCAAATTAAACGGTCTACCACACATACGTTGGAGGACAGAAAACACGTGGAAACTGTTGTATTGTATAGCCTACAGTGGTGCTGTGTATTTTAGGTTGGCCACTGTCATCCCTGTATGGGGTCGGAATCAGAATGAGAGATAGCAACATGTACTGCCATGCGACCAGAGTAAGTTCAGTTGACGAATTTCTTTGTTTCGGATTAACACGGAGAAATCTTAAGGAAGAACAAGGAAGCGTCCAACCGACTTTTCGCAAAACCCACAAAAAATAGCAACGAATGGAATGGAACGCGATCGCTCACACATAAAACACTGCACGGAGGAAGGCACACCGCAAATCGCTGTATGGCTCCAAAGTAAGTAGGGCACGTTTGGATAAGAGAACCAATAGGTTGAGACGTCCAACCACTAGGTGAAGGACCGACGACACTGTCGGCACGGGTGTGGAATGCTCGGATGTATGATTCGGATTACAAGTGGTGGATGTATTTTTATCCCGAAGCAATATGCTGGTGAAGTCGTTACAAATTCCATTGAGGAGATCCAGAACCAGTGGAAGAGCTTCTGAAGTATAAGAAAAGAAGAAAAAGCTCATAAGAAGGGAGTCATTTAAGTGCTTCTCCTTAGCTATTACCGCATGCATATAATATTCGCATATGGAAATCAATGAGCTGAGAGTAATAGCACTCATAAAGATTAACATCCCCAAAAACGGATAAAGAGTGTCCTAAGCAACACGCACCATTGAAGACCTGTTATATCAAGTGCAAGTAGTTCTTAATTCTACTAATCAGTAAGCGAGATGGCAGTTGAAATACTTCCATACATCAGAAATGGGTTAGATGATAGTGGAAGGAAGGTAAGAAAGCTATTCTATAAACTGTCGGCTGCGTTGTAAGAAACAATGGGAGAGAAAATAAGAGCAACGGCCATGAGGGAAGGGAGAAGGAACACAGACAACTACGATGTGTATCGCAACCTACAATGTATGTTTGCGGGGTTTCATTGCAAAAGTAGTTAAATGCGGCCGGAATAATGCAAAAGTAAAGTCCGCCTACCGTACAATTAATTTACTCACACCGATTGTCATAAGGTACGCAAAACTACCAGTAAGCAAAGGCAAAGAAAATAACTAACGAGACTTACTCTGTTGCAAGTCTATGTTCAGGAGTGCAGCGCTAAATTTCGGCGAAGCTGTGAGGAAGAAGATAAAATAATAAACTGAGAAATAGGTGAACAGAAACAGCGGTTCACACAATGCCTATATGCACGGACGCACCGAGTAACGAAGCAAAACCGAACCAAATGGGTCACCTAGTGCTGTGTTTGTGTTTGGAAAGGAACTTCGGTGAAAAAACGAGTTTACCAACCCCATAAGTTGCAGAACCTAAAGGCGTGTATGCTGGTTTGATTCGAATTGAGCTATCATCGGCCAAAGTACCTGTGTACTAAAATTGGTTCGATAAGAATCTACATACATACCTATCTATAGGAACCTAAGGACCTACTTATATATGAATACTAACAACTGACTGATTTAACGGGACAAGCGTACACTCAGCATAACATAGCACAGTAAAGCAATCTGCAAGTAAAGACAGAGGCCTCAACTTGAGAACTATCAAAAACGACTATCGTTACCAGAGACAGAAACATCGGTGTTGGCACTGACGCTTCACTGCAGTGCAAACACAAAATTTACTTAGTTACACTTAGAGTTACAAATTGGAAAGTAAAGAAAACAGTGGGTGAGGTGCTAGCCTGTAGTAAGCACTCCGAAGTTCCTATACCCTCAAGCGTTCAATCAGACAATCTGGGAAGAAACTCACAGCACGGACGCCGCGGCTGGCCGCCATTTCCTGCAGTATTCCAAGCCATGCTCAGGGGTTATGGTACCCTGGAAGGCGAACCGCATCTACAACACCCAAATCCTTCGTAATCTCTTTCGCACCATTCTGTCAAGTTATACGTTGTTCATCTCATGGTTTGCGCCATTCATTGCCCTTAGAAGCGGTATCCCCACTAGCGCAAAAGGGAAGTCGGGCGCTATAACAGACCTGGGGGTGTAGTGTGTCTGTCTAAAGGCACTGGCCGAATTCTAATTAAAAACCAGCAGCTGTGGGGCACGAGTCAGCCCCAATAGATCAGGTGGATGAAACTGCATTCATCATCGTTAAATCATCATCCACAGCAATACACTAGTGCTAAATACTGGTGCCTTCCTGTCACATAACCACAAAAATAGTGCATCAGCAACAAGTTGAAAAAAGAAACGTCCAGCTGTAACACCCTTCCGGTGCCTAGCTGCCGTACTATCTGAAGGAAGCACGAGGTCTGGGATACTGCCAGGTTGCCCAAGCCTAAACATGGGAAGTCGAGAGGCAAGGGTCGCGTCCGAACAACGGACCTTCCGGTCAGTAAATTCGCGCTCCTACCATTTGAGCCATGTCGCCCCAAGTGGAAAAAGGAGCCTAGTGAAAAGCCTTTGGAACATAGAAGAAATAAAGCATTAGAGTAACACAACAGAATAGGACGCCAACAGCGGGATCCAACCAACGTCGTTTACGAACCTCATAGAACAAGAACCTGACGAAAAGCGATAAAAAAGTTTAGTTAGGCAGTCCTGTTAAGAATGGATAACATGAACGTTACCGTATTGGTTGAGTTCTACGCCTTACATAGCCTCCAAGTACGCACAAGAATCACCTGGACGCCAGCAAGGAAGATGAAAACATCTAACAGCATCCAGCTTTCTCATAGTCACTTTCAGTTTGCGCATCTGTGTCATGGGTTACCCAACAGTGCACTGATGGTATCTCCTCGAATGATGACGAAACGTCCGTAAGTCAATTGCCAGACTCGGTAAACAGACCAACAGCATTATCTTTTGCAGCGTAAAATAGGACCGCAAAAAAGACAAATAGCCATCGCTTTATACATTTTCGTCCAATTCAATGGTTATTGAAAGCAATATTAAAGACTCCGACTACTCAAACAGCGAAGCAAAGTTGGAGGTCCGAAAGGACCACCTTACCTCTATTGCGGAAAAAAGTCTTGTTCGCCAAAGTCACGACTTCCGGCATTTATTCATCCAAAACATATGCAACGAGAGGAGAACGCAGCAAGCTAGTTGACCTAGAAGTGGAATAAAAATATTGTTTGTAGCTTGTACCAACAATAGACAAAAATGAATTCGTACGGCTACGCGTGAGTTTAGCCAAAGTATATCGGCTTAAAATAAGCGCAATCTAGTTTCTGGTCTTGCATCTCCTGTCGATGTATTAATAGGTTCTTGTCTCCATGTAGAGAGGTAATACTGAATATTGATTCTCGTGTAATTAAGGATACCTCTACCATGCTACATACCAACATGAACTTTCGAATCTCCCCTTGGCGCTCTTCATTTAAGCTTCTTGTTTGCGGAACACGTGCTACAGCATTCCACTCAATTTATCAACTATTAACCGTGTACCACATGCACACTGGTTCCAGCTGTTGCACCTTCGATCACCAGAAAGCAGGAGAGTGTGGGGCATACAGCCAAGCCTTCGAGGCAACGACATATCTGCGTGGTTCGGGAACTGGGTAGCTACGTATTGAAGGCAACAGCTTTGATACATGAGCGCCATTGACTGAGCGATTTCTGCCAGTACCATTAACCATTGGTGAGTTGAGCTCCAGGGTCCCCATCCACGGAGGCGACAGTTGTCGGTCTGACTAAGTTCAACGGTTAGTGTTTTCATACTTCGTTTCCAGGCCATACAATTTTCAACTCTAGATTGCTTCTATTCAGTACAGGACTGGGCGAAAAAGGGTCTGCGAAGCAGACGGGCTTCTGGTGTGCGGAGTACATGTTCTAACCAGCGTATTCTATGAAGCGGGAGCAATTTGTCTATTGCGAGAGAGTTCCTTCTTCCTAGGACTATCTGGCGTACCTCAACATTACTAATCCCATGTTCACAACAGACCCGACCAATGCTGCGGAGACACCGAGGGTCAAACACTGACGTCTTTCGTATGTTCTCTGAGCGTAGAAGCCACGTCTCTGATGCACAAAACAGTATGGATGGCACCGTCTCAGTATAAACTCTGCTTTTGACAGCCAAATTGACGTCACTTTGGTGCCATAGGTGCCGGAGGTTTCGGCTGCCCTGGCCTTCCCGATCCGAGTAGTATTCTCATCTCCAACCTCTCTTCACAGATAAACAAACTCATCTGCCACATCGACTGACTCGTCCGCAATTTGATCCCACGCAATCTTGTAGCAGCACTTTACACCTTGAAGGTGTGAAGCGCGTGCCAAACCGTATGGCCGAGTTACTTAGGCTATGTAAAATGGTTTGCGTTTCTGAAAGACCTGAACCAATGAGAGCAATATCGTCCCCATATTCTATGTCTCTGAACCAAGGTCCACAGAGCATTTCGACACCCGAGGTTTCCGAGGCAGGGAGAGAAATTTCAGGCGGCACATTAATAAGTAAAAGAGGAAAGATGAAGAAAGGCAGCCTTGTCTTACACCACCGGTCGTTGTTCCCGTATACTCGTAGGCGCCCACGGGAGTTTACATACAGTGCCCTCATGAGGCATATAATTTTGGAAGGGACACCTTTAATCGCCAGACACCGCCAAAGTTTCTCAAGATCCAGGGTCAAAAGCAGCTGTCAGATCAAGAAAAACAACCAACGTGAGACGTTTGAAACAGTGACGCTGTTCAAAGATTTATCTTAAGGTAAAGATATGGTCAATGTATCCTCGGAAACCCAGCTTGAATCTCCCCATAAGCGATTATCCCACGCAAAATAATGCCAGAGAGCACCTTAGATGAGACGGACACCAGGCTAAAGCCAAGATGGTTTTCGCATGACGTTCTTGTGCCCTATTTGAAAACCGGGATGACAGTCGAGGAGCTCTATTGGGATAGCATTCTGATTCGTCCCGAATCTTCCGCAGTATGGATGCGAGACTGTTCACCAGGACCTCGTCCGTCTCTTTGAAGAGTGCGGGGTACAGGCAATCCGTGCCATGTGCGTTGTCGAGTTTGAAGATTGCTGGACCTCTATTGTTGGTGTTGATGTTCCATTCAGGACGCTGGGTTCTTCCAGCGGTTGTATTGGAGGAAGCTGAACTGTTCTTTGAAGTATTCAGCACATCTCAAGACCACAATTAAGGGAGTGAAGTGCTGTTTCACCTTATTCGCATATTGTTAAACCGACACCTGCCTTCTTCCGACCAGTTGATCGGATTATCTTAAATAGAGCGCGGCTTTAGCCTGCAGCGAAAGCCTTCTCCATCTCCTGGGCCTTCAAAAGCACCATCGTTTTCTTATCTTCCTCAACCTCCTGATTATCCGGTGTTTCGGGGATCTGCGTGCGCCATCGCGGTTGCTAGTTGCTGGTATGGCCCCTCTGGCAGCAATAAGGTCTGTTGATCTCGACTATATTCAGTGATCATTTGGTCGAGTCAGAAGAGTTGGACAGACAATTCTAGAAGCTGAGCATTGCTTACTTAACACACTTCCATTCACCCTCCAGGGACTCTTCGTCAATTGCAGCATTGTGCGTTTCCAGTAGCTTTCTAGCCGGGTCGGCTCGACATTCTTCGGCTAATGAACCTGCTGAAGTTGATGAATGGAACTCTTCTGCTTTCGCAAGCGTACTGCTGACTGAGAGTGAAGTGATATCTGGGCTCGCGTAATAGCATGATCAGAGTCAAGTTGTTTGCACCTGAAGAAATGACAACCAATATCTGAGGCCATGTGGTCGATTGAGTCCACGACTGTCTCATAGTAGGTGGCCTCCAAGGAACTCAATGTTAGCGTCTGTGTTGGAAGTTCGCACTGGCCAGTCCCAGACAACGATCTGCACACAACTGAAACCGTCGCTCCCAATCACCCATACGCTGAGCGCCTATTCCGAATCTAGCACCCAACTGTTTTTTCCGGACTTAGTCGTCCGACTTTAGCATCCATATTACTCGCTTCTTGCTAACCGGAGCAGTCGTGACAGGTCTTCATAAAGCCCGTCCTTTTAAGTCTCAGTACCGCTGTCTTCCGGGAGGTATGCTGATATGACAAATAAACTTGGGCAAAAGCCTCGGTCCTGTGTATCAATCCGTGAATCCGTGAAATCCGTGTCCCCCCTCGTCGTTCTTCGTCTGCGGCTAATTGCAAACTTCGACTCCAGAACATAGGTGGCGGTAAAAGACTCACCCAGGAAGAAAAGAAAGTCCTAATACGAACAAGCGAGGGCGGAGTCGCCGGGGTCGCCTGGGTCGCCCGGTATTTAGGGCGCACGCATGACCTTGAATCAAGGCTACCTTCGCTATGCTGGTTGGTTGGCTATTTTTTTACCGATTCGCTGATACACGGGGCCATTAGCGGCACAATGTTCTTCGTTTCAAAACCTTTGCGAGTGAACTTTTTGCTCCAAAATGTGCTCGCACCAAAAATCATCCTTATATACTTCCGTATTTTCGCAGCTCAGTGAATTTCATTGCACCCTGAAACAATCATGCCCTTCACGGATTCACGGATTGATACACAGAGCACTGCTCGTTCTCAGCGCGGGGCAGTATGCTCGCCAGCGCGAGGATTCGCATAAATAAATGTCTAATAGTGCTTTAAATTGGGTTCGGTTCGAAGCGTGTACAACCGTCGGAGGAAGGTTATTCCTCGCAGCTAATACCCGAAATGAAAAAAGTTTTGTCTAATGAATGTGTGTGCCCTGAGCTTGAAGATTTTCTTACTATGTCCCCGCCGGGTGTTTGCTGGGTCAACGGTAAAAAACCTGTTTGCTAAGCTTTGTTCAAACAGGGCGTAAGTAAGAATTAGGTCCCCTCGGAGGCGACGGTACTCCAGGGGAAAGAGATCAAGCGTCGCCAGACGCGTTTCGTAGTCCACGGATTTGAGGCCGGCAACCATTCTAGTGGCGGCCCACTGGACACGCTCAATGAGGGTAACGTCTTTCGTACGTCCTGAGTAGACAACTTGGTTGGCGTACTCCAGGAGCGGTCTGACGTAGGCC